ACAAAATAGAACGTGAAGGCAACTTGCAAGCCAACGCGCAATGCTATGCTGCGCCTGCGAATGCCTAGGCAAGACGACAAGACACATTTTACAATCCGTTGTCCCCTGCACGCAGGACCACGCTTCTTCTTTGACTGTAAATTCCATCACCGTGCAGTGTTCTCTCACCCGTGCCACACGCGCGCGCGTTGTCCGCGAAGAGGAATGAACCGCCACGGCCAAGGCGAAACTTACTTTAATAACACTATGCCCCAATGTGTTCCGCCGGTGTTCCGCCGGTGTTCTGCCGGTGTCCCGTGGCGGGGTGTCCCGTGCGGTCCCGTGATGTCGATCGTGAGGTCGATGGTGAGATCGATAGTGAGGTCGGTGGTGCGATCGATAGTGGGATCCATAGTGAGATCGAAAGTGATATCGACAGTGAGGCCGATAGATAGTGAGATCGACAGCGGAATCGATAAGGGTTTTTCTTTGGCGTCCCGTGGTGTGTCGTGGTGCCCTGTGGCGTTTTATGTTGTTCGGTGGTGTCTCGTGTCGACAGATTGATCGTGGGACTGGTGCTCACAATTGTGTCCCGACGGTGTCCCGATGCTACCCATGTGTTCTCACCAGCGTTGCCATCACGCATCGTCGCCGACTCGTGAGTGCATTACCCGCATCGTCACCAACACAATCGTCGCAGCGGCCACCAAGTGCCCCCCGCCAACCTCCTTGTCACCCGAAGTGTGGTCGTATAGGTACATCTTTTCTGGTCAGACAAGCGTATGTGCTCACTGGTCCTGGACCCAGGGCCAGTCTGGCCCAGAGGCCTGCAGAGGCTCCGGTGCAAGCAGCCGATGGAGAGAGACGCTTCAGAGGAGAAACGTGGACCAACGTCACAGAGAACCCATCGGGGGGGACCTCCCCTGGCACGCCTGAGCGTGACGCTCAGGCGTGCCACCTCCCAAAGGTCCCCCCCCCCACACACGATGCGTTCTCCGGGGCGGTGGCCCGTATCTCTGCTCCGAAAGCTGGCAGGGTCTGGATATAGACCACCTTGACGGTCCACTCGTGATTGCGGAAGTGCCCGTCGCTGATCACCATGCCCCATGCCCGCACGAAGTTCCTCCAACGTGCAGAGTCGCTGCCATTACGGCACCAGAGTATAAAGCAGCGAGACAAAGTCAGAGACAGACGGATTGATATGGAGACCGGCAAGCACATAATATGCTGACCAACAAGCTGGTGGACTGGTAACATAATATCTGCCACCACACCCCGAGGCACGAAAGAGAATATCCTCAAGTCCCTTCGAATTGTCTGTGCTGGGCGCTGTATAAAATCGGCATGGGACCCAAAGCTGGGATTCTGGGAATACTTTGGCGCTTTCTGGCGTTTCTGGGAGCTGCCGCGCGTTTCCAGGGTTCTCCTCGTGACTTTTTCAGAGGCGGATCGGGACACGCGCTTCTTATACCTACCCTAATCAGGACGGTCCCCCAGGACCGCCTGGTGGGGGCCTCCCCGGCCTTTGAGGATCTTTCCCAACACGTGCAAACGGCCCACCAGCGGTGCCAAGGGGTCCCCAAGGCGGTCCCCAAGAGGCGATTTTATGGCCCCACGGGGGGGGAGGAATGGGGGGGGGCAAACGTTAAGCACCCCCCCTCCCTTCATCGATGGCCTCCAAAATGGCCCCAAGAGACCCTCCCGGATCCCCATGAAAGGTCCAAGAAGGCCCAAAAATGGCCCCAAGACCCCCCCAAGAGATTCAAGAGACCCCCAAATCCGACAAGAAAGTGTCCCTAGAGGACTCTCAGCGGCGATGTTGCCGGCTCTGTCCTCGTCGTCCTCCTCCTCCTCCTCCTCCTCCTCCTCCTCCTCCTCCTCGTCCTTGCCCTCATCGTCTTCATTGTTGTTCTCACTCTTCCTCGTCGTCGTGGTCGTCGTGGTCGCCGTGGTCGCCGTGGTCGTCGTCGTGGTCGTCGTGGTGGTGGTGGTGGTCGTCGTCGTCGTCGTCGTCGCCTTCCTCTCTCAACGCTTTCAACGCTGCCGAGTCACGAGTCGAGCTGGCCGAACCTGGAAGGCACGTCGCCCTCCTCCCGCTCTTTGTGGGCCCCGGAAACGGCAGGGCCGTTTTTTCATCGTTTCCCCAAAAATGTCCCTTGAAAATGGAAACGGCAAAAAAAACGACCAAAAACGGCAAAAAAACGGCTCCAGGATTGGAACCGGAGCCGGTCAAACAACGGCGACGGAACCGGTAAAAAAACGGCGTTGGAACGGGCCAACAAACGGCAAAACGGAACCGGCAAAAGAACGGCCCTATCGTTTCCAGGGCCCACTAAGCTCCTGCTCCTCCTCCTCCTCCGCCCACCGGGCGGAACCTCGGCACGGCCAGCTGTCGCACGGGGCACGAGAGGAGGCGCCAGCGGCCGCACCCCAGGGCGAGAGCGCGCACTCCGAGACGACGCACAGGGCGCCCACGATGCGCCCATGGCCGCCTACGATGCGACACCTCGACGACACAGAGACACACACAAGCACAAACATGCACACAAACACAAACACACACACACACACACATCCAGTAACTTAGGGACCCCCTCAGTGCAAGCACTTCTGGGGGAATACCGATAAACGTAAAGCTACGATTGTAAATCTGACAACCGTTATTTTTACCAATGCAACTACAGAGCGCTAAACTGATTCTTTCGAACATCTAGATTTCATGTTGATGCCAGAATCGCTACATACATGATGCACAATACGCAGAAATTGAACATGTAACAAAAAAACCTTGGGCCGTGTCTGGTGCCAACCAAGCAAGTAGACACGGGGGCTCGAATAGAAAGACGGATGCATTCAAACAGACGAGCCACAACGACAGACAGGTGGACCCGAAAGGCAGGCGCCACAGACCATACAAGTAACATACACAAACAGACATACAAGCATACATCTTCCAGACGGGACACGAGCGGACCAGGTCAGGTGTAGCCCGACTAGACATGAACACACTGCAGTAAAACATGTGCGTGATCTGACAAGCAAGAGAGTAATAGACTTGAGTCTCCATGCTGAAATGTCGCAACGGCGACCAGAGGCAGGCTAAAGCAGAGGGGCTGAACAGATAACAGCGGTGCAAGGGCAGCTTCGATGAATGGAGTGCTGCCTCCTTACCTGTGCCTGACTGCACTCAGAGAAATACCTTGAAGGACAGACAGACGTGAATGAGCAGAAAGCCTTCCTCTGAAATGTCCCTTATCTCATCTCCTGCCATCAGTTTGCGAAGGAACATCTGCATTAACAGAAGTGCTCGCAGGTCCGCGCGGATTCCTCGGATCGATGCTGAGACCCCCTCCCTGGCGCGCGGAGCGCGCCGAGGGCGGGCCTGGAGGCGCCGCCGAGGAGTCCTGATCCAAGACATCCGCGCGGACCTCCAAGGGTCTACGCTTATGTCGATTGCTTCTTTTCGATCTTCGCCTCACCTCCTGCCAGTGGGCGGACAAAATATCGCAAGTTATATGATCGTTCCGAGAAACAGCGTGTCAACTTCGATCATACTCCGTCGATATCCGAGGAGCTCCCCTTTCCCAGCATTTCAATGTTGAGTTGCATTATTTTGTCCTCCCGGACTTGGGGTGCTCGCTCGATGCCAACATTGAAATGTAGGGGGCGGGGGCGTTCCGTCGAGGTGGCGTCGCAATGTAGGCGCAGCCGTGCGCGGCCAGGAACAACTTGCAATATTTCGTCTTCCCACCGGCGCACACTGAACGTGGAGTGCTGATTGGTGGATGAAGCCCAGGATCATGCCGGACAAAACGGGATCCACTGGACGTAAGCAGGAACACTCCGGATGATGCCTGTTTCCGACCACGGGTAACTATGCTAACAAAAAGAATGCCGAACTACACTTCCCGGGGCTTGCGTCATCATCCGTGTTCGCCCTGCCTCGTCGCTTCGTGGGCCGACCTCGAGGGGCGCTCCCCGGTCGCAGCCACCCTGCGACTGCACGGCGGAGGTGGGCGATCTCGCGGGGGCGGCTCCCCGTGTTGGACCACGAGCCCCACTCGGATATCTTGGAGGTCATGTCGCCGATGGGGACGGTGCCCTCCCCGTTGCAGAGCTCGGCCTTCCCAGTCCCATACATCAGGAGAACAAACAAGCACATAAACATAAACCTTTGGCGCTCCGCGCGGATTTCTTGGATCCGCGCTGGACCCCCCTCCCTGGCGCGCGGAGCGCGCCAGGGGCGGCGCCGGAGGCGCCGCCAGGGGGCCCAGCACAGATCCAAGAAATCCGCGCGGAGCGCCAAAAGGTTAGGTTTATGGATTGTTTCTTCTTCGAGACACGCTCCGCGTCTCGTCAAACAACGTCGGCAACCCCAAGCTCTGGCTTACTCGAGTCTTACGTTTCCCCGAGCCTTCCCAGACATGCTCGCGCCCTGGAAACATCTGCACACTCTCTGCCTGTGCATTTTTGCCGGCCTCCCACTGGGCCTGCACAAGGGGCCCTGGGGCCGTCGAACACGGCTGCTCAGGGATAAAAGAAGCACGGCCCCAACGGAGGGGCCGAGACCTCGGGGCGTGGACGTCGTGCCCAAAGTCTGATGTTGGGGGTCTGGGCTCGGGTCGGACGAGGAGGGGGGGAAAGATAGCAGGGGGGGGGGGTAGCGAAGCAGCTCGCGCAGCCGATCTCGCGGGCGCCTCTGCCGCCAGGAACGCCGATGTCGTCACGGGAAGCGCCCAACGGCGGGGCCGCAGCCGTCTGCACGCCGCAGATTTCGTGCCCCCTCTCTCGGTAACTCCCCCCTCTCGTCCGACCACGATGCCTGCTTGGAGACGAGGGGGAGAGGCGACGACGAGGAATTCACAGTCGAGACATTGGAAAACAGTGGGCCACCTTGCCAGAAGCCCCAAGCCCCATGGTGATACCCCGAACCAAACGAAACATGTTCCGAGGTGGAGAGCTCAGATTGAAGAGCAGAAAGGGTATCCCTGCAGAGCTAGGACAGAGCCAGGACTGTTCTGATTCTGAACCTTCGCGCCAGCGGTACACGGATGCGCACGGAAAGGTTAATGAGCAGCGAGGAACAATGTGAGGAAGTGGAGGGCAGATGAGGAAGATGAGGAAATGAAAAGAATAGAGGACTGGGTGGGAGGAAGAGGACGCATGGTGCCCGAATGCCTTCTGCTGCAGTAGCGCGTGAGGCCCACTCCTGGCCTCGACACTGATGGGCCGAAAGATGTCTTTCGCAGATTGGTTCGCGAGCCAAAGCGCTTGTGTGTATCTGCTTGCTGTATGATTTCTGCTTCGGCACACGTTGCGCTGTTGTTCCCCTCCGCTGCAGCGGCGCCACCTACGTCGGGTATTACGGCTGATCACCGGCGCCGCCGCCGTGTCTTTATTTGGCGGCCTCCCCGCGATTCGTCTGAGCAGGGGAACCGTCGTTGTCTTTCATCACGCGCCCCGCGCGTTCTTCCTGGTCACAAGCCGGCAGTTATGACGACGGCTCAGCGCATCGAGATTGGCTCGGGAGCTGGTGTACGTGCTCGCTGTATGCTCTCTCCTTCGACGCACGGCGGCTCAAACCTGCTGCCCTGCCTTCGACGACGGCCTAACGCACCCAAGGTCGAAGATGGGGGGCAGCAGGAACGCGTGCACGCGGGGGGCCCGTGGCGTGCGCACTTCTTCGGGGCGCGCGCTCGGCAGCTTGAGCATCGGCTGGGGGGCTCCACCGCAAGTCGATCCTCGGTGCTCGATCCTCCTCGATCCTCGAACCCTCGATCCTCCTCGTTCCTCGAGTCCTCGATCCTCATCGCTTCTCGACCCTCGATCCTCCTCGATCCTCGATCCTCCTCGATCCTCGATCCTCGGTGGTGGGCGGCGGGGGCTTGCACCACCACCGTTTTGTCCCTGGTCTCTGCCGCTCAGTCGGCGGCGATCGACGGGGGAAGTGAGGAGGAGAAGGCCCTCTCAGAAGGCGGCGGGCTTCTCAGACGCCCTCTGGGCTTATGAGACGCTTTCTGTGTCTGCGGGGAAGGCTCGAGAACTTTCTCGGAAGGCCGGGGAACCTCCGAGCCTTCTGAGAAGGCCCGCCCCTTCTCACTTTTCCTCCCGGGCTCGCCGCCGAACAAGACCCATGGGGGATGGGGGCCCACCCTGAAAGAACGAACTTCTAGGGCGCGCCGAAAAACCCATGGGGTCGAGCTTCCGTGCAAGCAAAACAAAAATCCCTGGCGAGGAGTTCGAGCACGGGGGTAAGCCCTGTCTCAACTTTCAGAAGAGAACTGAACTCTCAGTGCAGGGTCTCGCACGCGGGCTCCCATCCCCCAGGCGCAACCAGGAGGAGAAGCGCGAGAGCCAATATGGCAAATGCAATGCAACAACACCCTAGAAGTACAGGCCCCGGAAGAAATCAGCGAACACTCATGCCACATTCATCTGTTAATCCCTTCCCAATGATCCAAATTGGCGGTGGGTTGGATGAGTTGCACTTCGACCGCAGTCTTCCCAGAGCGTGCCAAATTCGAATTTTGGGGAGAATTGGGGTGTCCACTAATCGTTTCCCTCTACCGTAGTTGTACTGGAATTGTACTAGTAGTCATTGCTCTGCATTCGCTTCTTCTACTGCGGTACGACTAGTACTGCTATGTACTCGGCAGTAGAAATTGCACTCCAATACCAGTTGTACTCTGGTGCACTCGAGTGCAAGTCGTACTCGAGTGCAATTCGTACTCTAGTACGAATTGAGCTAAAGCTTGAACGGGCAAGCGCGGAAGAAAGAACTCAATGCGCCGCCAAGGATCCACCATTTAACAAATCGCTGCGAGGAGAGCCCCCCCGCGGAAGAAATGAAATCTGGCCAGGGGAGTTGGAATGAGTCGCGGAGATGTACGAGACGGGCTACAGTTATCTTGCCACCACGAGGAACGCCGCCATGAACACGCCATATCGAGGTCTCCTCCTCCTCCTCCTTCTCCTCCTCCTCCTCCTCGTCCTCCTCCTCCTAATCCCCCTCGTCCTCCCCAGTAAACCTCGCCGTTCGGGCAGACGGCAACAGGCCATTGGGGAAGTTACCATCCTTGTCCCCGTTCCCTGATCCCCTCCGCCTCACCCAGAACCACCCTCCTCTCGCCCCCGAGCCAAAACGCCGCCCTCACACGGCAAACCTCTGACGAGGCATGGACGAACTCGAAGTGACGACCCCGACGCCCGCGCATGACAGAAAGCGCGAGAACCACGGAGTGGGCGCTTGGTTAAGCCCTCCTCAGACCAGATCGCCCGCAAGAGCGGGAAGCCAGCGCGGCTGTTCGGGCACACAAGAACGCCCGTCTTCCCAGGACTTTCAGAGCATGGTCGAAACCTCCCGGCCTGCCGCTGGCATTTGGTTTCGACCATCCCGGTTACTCTGAGGATGTGGCCTATTGTTGTCCAACGACTGGTTTCTGTGGTAACAGACTCTGCCGTAAACTGCCCAACAATCTCCAGTGTCTCTCCGATGACTGCTTCATCCCTGAACATGGGTTAGGTACCCTTTAAGCCTATAGCAAGCGTGGCACTCCTCCCCCTTGTTCGAGTAGGGGATCGGCCACATAAGTGATTTACCCCCAATTTTCTCTCGTTCAAAATACGTGTATGATGTTTTGAGATCTACGTGATGTTTACGCTTCTGTCCTATAGTCAACGAACATTTCAAGTTTGGGATAAATCAATTCGGTAGTCGATCCCTTACTGGACTGGTAGCCACTCCTCCCTTAAGGCCTACGGTCGAATCTGCGGCCGCAATGCCGCTTGCTGAGAGCAGAAGCCCCTTGGCCTGTGCCGAAGGCCCAGCCCCACATCGACGAGCATTCCAGGATGGAGAGCCGAAGCACGAAGAACATGACTTAAGGAGACCCAGTCGAGACAACGACGCCAGGGAGGGCCACGACGGCCCTCCCTGGCGTCGTTGTCTCGACTGGCCCTCCTGGCGTTTCTTGCCCGTTCTGTGCCAGGGATGGGCGAGGAACGCCAGAGATCGACAAGACACGTCGGGGAAGGCCACGCCGGCCCTCCGTGGCGTTCGTTTCTTGTCCATACTGTGCCTCCCGGAGGCTTCTCGTCGCCGCGGCTGGATCCGCCCTGACAATGCCGAGCGGACACTGGCCGGATGGGAGTGTCGCCGCTGTCTCAACCGGCCCTCCTCCGATCACCTCCTCCTCCTCCTCCTCCTCCTCCTCCTCCTCCTCCTCCTCCTCCTCATACTCCTCCCCATCCCACCACAGAGAACATCCCACGGTCCAGGGCGGACAGCCCGAGCACGAAGAACGGAAGGGGGGCCCTCCCAACCCGTCGTTGTTCTTTGCCCTCGTGCCAGCTCTGCCTCCTCCATCAACTTGCCGTCGCTCGGACGTCCATTCCCCGTGCACTTTGTTGGTTCCGTGCGTGTGTTTTTCTCCTCGATGGCCCAGGATGCTCCTCGAGGGCTCTCGCCGAGAAAAAAAATGCACACGTCCGAGCGATGCCAGGTCAATCCACGCCCCCCCCCCCCGAAAGCGGGAGACCTCCCCGCGCCGCGCAGAGAAGGGCGACGCGGCGGGAGAGAGCTGCTCCGGCGCGCTGCGGCCTCTCGGGGGCGTGCGCCCGGGCCGTGCCCCCCGGGGGCCGCCGGGAGACGGCTCGAGCGGAGAGAAGCCCGGCCCCCGTCGGGCCAGACGAACGGGCAGGATCAGGAACTCAGGGGAGAGGACGGTGCCCATACCGCCATGTTGGCTTCGTTTTCGCCTCTTCGGGCCTCGGGGGAGGTCCTCGTCGCCACCGCGGGATGCTCGAGGTCGTGGTCAGAAGGCGCCCTGGGAGAGGTCCGGGGAGTGGCTGTATGCACCTTTTGGCTTCCCCGGGAAAGGGGGGGGGCACGAAATCTGCTGCATGCAGCTGGTTTCGGCCCCGCCGCCGGGCTCAGTCCTCGATACTGAAGGGGCCCTGGGACACACAAATGAATACACACGAATAACAGGATTCCCCATATTTTCCTACATTTTCTGGGTTTTTGTCTTCCCCCCCACTTCCCATATTTTCCCATAGTTTCCTGGGAGTCGACGGTTAATTGTGTCAGTGTGTTTTTTTGTGCCTCCTGAAAAAAAAAAGCGCACGACACCGAGCAATGCACGGGTAGTGGACGTCCGGGCGATAGCAAAGGGTAAGGGAAAGGGGTGGCGACGACAGCTGCTGCGTGCAGCCAGTTTCGCCCTCGCCCCGGTCGGGCATGTCCCCCTACAGGTGGATTTGGACGACAAATACGAAACACCGAATAAATACCCCCAAATGCTCAAGAAGACACTCAAAACACCAAAAATACGCAAACATGCTCAAGAAGACAATCAACAAATCGTCCCAGGACTATTCTGGACTCTTTTCGAATATTCCTCCTGTAGAGGGACATGCCCGACTTGAAGCTACGTGAGCTGGCCAGTACCCGCTCGGCATCAATCCTCGGACGCTTCTCGGCGTCCACCTTGGCTCGTTTGTCAAGGTGGGCCTGGCCGTGACGACGAGAAGCCTCCGGGAGGCAAGGGATGGGCAAGAGGTGGGCGTCGCGTCATCAGGAGGCCCAGCAAAGCGAAGACAAGGCGGCGGCAGCGGTATCGGTACCTTTCCTTCCTCCTACCATTCAGTCGGGCCTGTCCCTCTACAGGAAGAATGTTCAAAGATAGTAAAAACATAGCCGGGGGAAAACATAGTCGGGGGACGTTCTTTTGCTTCCTCACATTGATTGGCTATGTTTGAATATGGCTGGCTTCTGCTTTCTTTCTCGCCCAAAATCCGCCTGTAGGGGGACCTGCTCGACCTAGTCTTACCACCTTCTGTCACCCCCCCATGGCGCAACGCCCGACGTTCTTCCCTCGAGTGCTGCCGGGGCACGGTGGCCACTGGGCGTCGTTCAATGGAGGGGGGCGATACACGGGGGGGGGGGGGGAGAAGGGCGCACTACTCGGGTTCGGCAAAGCCCTGCTTTGGGTCCGAGAGGAGGCCGCTTCAGGGGCCCAAGCGGGCCCTTTCTCTGCAGCCCTCGCTGCCCCCCCTCCACTTACTCCTCCCCCATTACGCGGGGCCCACTTCGGGCCAACAAACGGGCCTTCGGCGGCCGATCGGGACGATCCGGCCGCCTCCGGAGCAACCCTCGACGAGGCGCAGCTGCTGGAAAAATGCGCCCCAAAGCGACGGGATATATACATATCCTCTGCCCCAAACCTGGCCCATCTCGGGCCAGGTCGGGGGCAAAAGTGTGCACAGATCTCGTTGCCCTACATCCGGAGACGGGGAACCCGCAGGGCTATACTGACTACCCGTCTCGGTGGCGCTGACCCACCCCGCCGTGTAATCGCTGAAAACGATGTGCTCGTCGCACCTCCAAGCGCGCGAGCGCGCGCGCCCGCAATAATAATGATGATGGTGGTGGTGGTGATGACCATGGTGATGGCAGCAATGACGGCGATGAAGATGACGATGATGATCATGGTGGTGATGATCATGGTGCTGATGCGGCCCCCGATGTGGTGATGATGGTGATCATGATGGTGATGATGCAGGAAACGATGATGATGCTGATGATGATGATGATGATGGTGATGATGATGATGATGAGGATGATGATGATGATGACGATGACGGTGACGATGGTATATGAAGGGGCGTGATCCACCGCCGCTCTGCTGTGGAAAATTCTCCCCCCTCATCCTCCGGAGCCCGGGGTCCCCCACCTCCGAAAGTCCCCCCCCTGCTCGAACCGCCAAAACCCCCCCCTCCGGCTAACCCCACCCCTGTGGAAAACCGGGGATGGGGGGTCACTACCAGTTCGAACACCCCCCCCCCTCCCTCCCGCCCTCGGAAAACCAGAGGGGGCTGCCTACCGGTCGCACTGGTAGTGCCTCCTCCCTTTTCATGATGGACCTGGGGGCGGGTGGGGGTTTGGACTTCCAGTGATTCCCCCCCCGTTTTTTTTTGGGGGGGGGCGGCGGGTTGGACCCCCCCAGTGGCCCCCCTCCGGTTTTCTGTGAGCAGCGGCAGAACACGCTCTTTCTGATGATGAAAACGAAAATGGTTGTGATGGTGACGATGACGATTATTAATCTTATTGCTCGACATTGCATCGTCGGTGATGGCAACATGTCTGCTCTCCTTCTGGCTGCGTCGGTGCCGCAATTCGTGACAACAACTTCGCATGACCAGTATCGCAGGCCCGTGCAAGGTCGGGCAAGGTGCTCGTTGGCGTCGCTGGCGCGGGTGGTCCGCTCTAGCTGGCCAGGCAGCGAACCAGCCAAGTCTGAAAAACAAGCAATGGGTCTCTCGAGTGAGAACCGAGGCGTATCGCAATGTCGTCAACCCTTGCTAACAAGCGTAGTCCATGCAAAACCACCACGACACCTGCATACGACCCCGAACTCCGTCCACTCATGAACAGCTCCCTCAACTTCTTGCTGCACCAGCGTCCTATAATAAAACACGTTGCCCACAATGCGCCACGAAATCGTACACTATGTTCATCCACTTCGCTGGCACAATACCCTCGCTGACCACGGACTCCCCCTCTGAGATCAACGCAGAAGCAGACCCATCGCCACTAGTGCACAGCCCTATTCCCTGGCCGTTCTGACCTTCCCCTCTGGAGGCTTGTTGCCGATGCTCTGCTGGTTGCCATTGGCGTACTCGTCTTCCTCTCGCGGGGTGTTGTGCTCGTCCAGCATGTCGCTAATGCTCTGCTGATGGCCATTGACGTACTCTTCTTCCTCTCGCGGGGCGTCGTGCTCGTCAATCACATACGTGGAGCCCTCCTGGTTGCCCATGACGTTCTGGTGTCCCCCTTGCGAGGCGGAGTGCTCGTCAATCTCCCCTTCGACATGCAGCGGGATGTCTAGAGACTCGATGTCGCGCCTCATGGTGTGCCCAGGGCAATTATCTAAAGCACCAGCAGCACGCCCAAGTGAAAACGGGATATCCGCTTGAATCTTCAACTTCACCTGCGCCCCGTCCGCCGGCAACCGAGAGCGGCCACCGTCTCGTCCATGACCCTTTGCAAGCGCCCGCAGGAGGAACGAGCGAGTGCCTGCGCCGATGGTGGCCTCCATCACGTTCGCATGCGGACGAGGCCCGAAACATAAAGAGTGGCCGTCATGTTGCGCCTGCCGTTTAAACGGCTTTGAGCCCATACGGCGGCTGACGGTGCTGATGGTGACTCTGATGCTGATGTTGATGATGATGTTCATGATGATGATGATGATGCTGTTGTAGGGCTGGACCTAAACAGTGCTTTCGTTTTCGTGTTGTTTTCGTTGTTCCTCGTTTTGTCTCGAATTCGCATTTGCTGTAAAACGACGTCGAACCGAAAACGACCGACGAAATTGCCAAAACACCGTTTAGGTCCAGCCCTGTACTGTTGATGATGATGATGATGATGATGATGATGATGATGATGATGATGATGATGATGATGCTGCTGCTGGACGAGGACGAGGATGACGACAACGACGCGCCCTCGAAGGCGGGCTTCCTGGATATATTGCCCTCCCAGTACTTGATCGAGGATCTTTCGTCGTATGGATTGTTGTGCCCATCTCTTCCATCAGATGTTGTGCCAGCTTTTGCTTCCATCATGAAGGAGGAGGAGGAGGAGGAGAAGGGGGAGAAGGGGGGTGATAGGGGAGGAGGAGGGGGAGAGGGCTGACAAGGAGGAGGAGGAGGCTCGGGGCACGGCGTCGGGTCCAGGGGGGCCCCGCAGCGCGTCGGCGCCGCGGCTCGGAGTTCCTCGCTGGATCGGGCCGCGTCGGCTCGGGGCTTAGAGGTCGCATCGCCACGGCCGCGCCAGCACGCACAACAGAGCCCGCCTTCGAGCTGCCATCGGTGGAAGATTTGGCCCGCGAGCTTCTTGAACGGGTGGGTTCGTCTGCGTCGGTCGAGGCCGGGACTCAAGCGCCCGCGCGCGGTGGCCGATGCGGTGGGGAAACGCGTCTTGGACTGCTGGAGGCGCTCGCGCTCTGCAGAAACGCAGTGTTGGGACATAGCACAGAAGGGCCCCACGGAACTTGTAAGTCCGCGGGCGCACAGGTGGTCCCAAACAGCCAGACGCTGGTCGTGGCAAGCGGTGGGGTGCACCAGGAGCGAACTGAGGGCACGAAGGCGAGAGAGAACAGAGCGGGGGCCCATGGGCCGCAACGCCAGCCTGGCGTTCCGAACGCTCACGCTACGCCCTGCTCCCGAAGCCCGGAGCAACTCGTGCGCACGCGCGCCTCTCTGCCGCTCCCGGGCAGGCGTCGGGCCGCATCGCGCCGTCGGGCTCCGACCGGCTCGAGCTTTTGCCGAAGGCGGCAGAGCGAGCCGGACCGCTCGGCGCGTGAGGTGCCCACTGGGGGGGTGTGAAAGGGGCCCTGGGACATAGAAATAAATACACACAACTAAGAAGATTCCCCATATCTTCAGGGTGTTTGTCTTCCCCCCCACTTCCCATATGTTTCCATATTTTCTGGGAAATCGCTGATTCATTGTGTCTGTGTGCTTCTTTCCCTCCCGGGGGTCGACGGTCGAGGGCTCCCCGGCCCACGGGTCGGAGAGCAGCGCGACCCGCCGCCGGCCGGCGGTCCCGGGGCCGCACGCGGTGGGGGAGGCGGGCGCCTCTCCCAGAGGCCGGGGGGGGCGTGCCGAGCAGAGGGTCCCGCGTCGGGCTGTGGCCAGGGGTCCGCCCCCCTCCTGCCGTCTCCCTCCCTCCCCCTCCCCGCGAGGATGCGATGGTGAAGCCTTCGTCGCCGTCGTCCAGGCGGCGGCGAAGACGAAGGGGAAGTGCGCCGTGACGCGGGGGCAGAGGAGGAGGAGGAGGAGGAGGAGGAGGAGGTGGAGGTGGAGGAGGAGGAGGTGGAGGTGGAGAGGGGAGGAGGAGGAGAGGAGGAGGAGGAGGAGTGGAGGAGGAGTGGAGGAGGAGGGAGGTAGGAGGAGGAGGAGGAGGAGGAGGAGGGAGGAGGAGAGGAGGAGGAGGAGGAGGAGGAGGAGGAAGAGGAGGAGAGAGGGAGGAGGAGGAGGAGGAGAGGTGGAGGAGGAGGTGGAGGGAGAGGGAGGAGGAGAGGAGGAGGAGGTGGAGGAGGAGGAGGTGAAGGAGGAGGGAGGTGGAGAGGGAGGAGGAGGAGGGAGGAGGAGGAGGAGGAGGAGGAGGAGGAGGAGGAGGAGGAGGAGGAGGAGGAGGAGGAAGAGGAGGAGGAGGAGGAGGAGGAGGAGGAGCGGGAAGGATTCCTCTCCCTCTCCGCCCTCCTCTCCCTCTCCGCCCTCCCCTCCCATGGCCCAGGCAGACTGGCAGACGCAGACGGCCACCTCCTCCCTTCTCCCTCCGTCATGTCTCCCCCCTTGCACCCCCAGGCCTTGCCTTCCCTCAGGCCGGGCGTGTCCCCCTACATGCGAATTTTGGATGAAAAATAAGAAGTAGTCAAATAATACACAAACACGAATCAAACATGCACATTAACCTGACAAAAGGACCCAACCATATGCAGCTGCGAATGCCGCATTGTGGGTACCGCTTTCGGTGGAGCTCCCTATGGGGCTGGGTGGGGGAGACGCATGCGAACGGTGCCACTGGGGCCTTCGGTGGAGCTCCCTATGGTGCCACGAAACGCTGCCTTGGGTAGGGGAGACGCATGCGGACCCTGCCACTAGAGCCTTCGGTGGAGCTCCCCATGGGGCCACGAAGCGCTGTACTGGGTGGCGTTGACGCACTCTGACCCTGCCACTGGAGCCTTCGGGGGAGCTCCCCATGGGGCCACGAAGCGCTATCCTGGATGGCGGTGGCGCATGCGGACCCTGCCACTGGAGCCTTCGGTGGGGCCTCCTACGGGGCCACGAAGCGCTGTACTGGGTGGCGGTGACGCATGCAGACCCTGCCACTGGAGCCTTCGGTGGAGCTCCCCATGGGGCCACGAAGCGCTGTCCTGTGTGGCGGTGACGCATGCGGGCCCTGCCACTGGAGCCTTCGGGGGAGCTCCCCATGGGGCCACGAAACGCTGTCCTGGGTGGCGGTGACGCATGCGGACCCTGCCACTGGAGCCTTCGGTGGAGCTCCCCGTGGGGCCACGAACCGCTGTCCTGAATTGCGTTGACGCATGCGGACCGTGCCACTGGGGCCTGCGGTGGAGCTCCCTGTGGGGCCACGAACCGTGTGAGAGGTGTGCCTACATGGGTGGCGTTGACGCATGCGGACCCTGCCACTGGAGCCTTCGGTGGAGCTCCCCATGGGCCCACGAAGCGCTGTACTGGGTGGCGTTGACGCACTCGGACCCTGCCACTGGAGCCTTCGGGGGAGCTCCCTATGGGGCTACGAAGCGCTATCCTGGATGGCGGTGGCGCATGCGAGCCCTGCCACTGGAGCCTTCGATGGGGCCTCCTACGGGGCCGTGAAACGCTGTCATTTGTGGCGGTGACGCATGCGGAGCGTACCCTGCCACTGGAGCCTTCGGGGGAGCTCCCCATGGGGCCACGAAGCGCTGTCCTGGGTGGCGGTGACGCATGCGGACCCTGCCTCTGGAGCCTTCGGTGGAGCTCCCCATGGGCCCACGATGCGCTGTACTGGGTGGCGGTGACGCATGCAGACCCTGCCACTGGAGCCTTCGGTGGATCTCCCCATGGGGCCACGAAGCGCTGTACTGGGTGTCGGTGACGCATGCGGACCCTGCCGCTGGGGCCTTCGCTGGAGCTCCCTGTGGGGCCACGAAACGCTGTCCTGGGTGGCGGTGACGCATGCGGACCCTGCCACTGGAGCCTTCGGTGGAGCTCCCCGTGGGGCCACGAAACGCTGGACTGGGTGGCGGTGACGCATGCGGAGCGTTCCACTGGGACTTCGGTGGAGCTCCCTGTGGGGCCACGAAACGCTGTATTGGGTGGCGGCAACGCATGCGGACCCTGCCACTGGAGCCTTCGGGGGAGCTCCGTATGGGGCCACGGAACGCTGTCCTGGGTGGCGGTGACGCATGCGGACCCTGCCACTGCAGCCTTCGGGGGAGCTCCCTATGCGGCCACGAAGCGCCGTCCTGGGTGGCGGTGACGCATGCGGACCCTGCCACTGGAGCCTTCGGTGGAGCTCCCTATGGGGCCACGAAGCGCTGTCCTGGTGGCGTTGATGCATGCGGTCCCTGCCACTGGAGCCTTCGGGGGAGCTCCCTATGGGGCCGCGAAACGCTGCCCTGGGTGGCGGTGACGCATGCAGACCCTGCCACTGGAGTCTTCGGTGGAGCTCCCCATGGGGCCACGAAGCGCTGTACTGGGTGGGTGAAACGCAAGGTGGTGACGAGGCGGATGGGAGGAGGGAGGAGGGGGAGGAGGAGGGGGAGGAGGAGAGGAGAGGAGAGGAGGGACGCGGGGCGCTGTCTCTTCAAAACGAGGATCCAACACCACAGGATGGTTGGGGAAAAATCGTCCCCGGATTATTTTTTGACTATATTTGAATATTCCTCGTGTAGAGGGACACGCCCGACTCCAGCCTTTCCCCAGCAATTCTCTCCTCTATCGCAGCTCCCTCGCAGAAGGCTGGTCGAAGACTGCCGGCGCTGCCTCCAGAGGCTCACCCTGTTCTCGCACTGCGGCTTGATCAGGTCCATCTCGTAGCCCTCCCCGTCTGCCCCAACCCCCCAGACGCGAAATCGCAACATCTGGCATTCACCATCGACCCCGCCCCACGTGCTGCTCGGACTCCGTTGAGACAAGACAGAGAGGCATAACAGTAAACTTGTGGAGGTCTGCGCGGATTTCTTGGATCGGCACTGGAGCCCTCCCTGGCGCGCGGAGCGCGCGCCGACAGGTGTGGCCAGCACAGATCCAAGGAATCCGCGCGGAGCTCCGAAACTTTATGATTCTTCTTCGGGCTACTCGGCGCAGGCTCGACTCGACTCCGCTCCGAGCTCCGCAGATTCGGCTGCAGGGGTCTGCGCCTTCGCCCAATGGAGGGCACGAGGAGGACGATGAGGACAGGTGGAACCAGCCCCTCCCCCGTCGTGTCTGCGGCCTCCCTGGTGTCTGTCTACTCCTCCCCCCCCTCTGTCCCCCTCGTCCTCCTGTTGCTCCTCCTCGTGCCGCCTCTCCGTCTGTTTGTCTCCCTCACTCGCGGGGGAACCCCCTTCTGCGGGCACGAAACGTGTGAGGGGTGTGCCGGAACGGGTGCCGTGGTGCCATGCGGGCGCTGCCACTGGGGCCTTAGGTGGAGCTACCTTCGGGGCCACGAAGCGCATTAGGAATGTGTAGAAATGGACATGAGGAGAGCCAAGGCACGATGCTGACGATGGCGATGATGCTGCTGCTGCTGCTGCTGCTGATGATGATGATGATGATGATGATGATGATGATGATGAGGTTGATGATGATGATGGTGATGATGGTGATGATCATGAACATGTGGATGATGATGATGAAGATGACGATGAATGTGCTGATGATGCTGGATGATGATGATGATGATTGTGATGTTGATGCTGATGGTACGGATGATACTGATGATGATGCTGATGATTGTGATGATGATGATAAGGATGATGATGCTGATGCTGCTGATGATGATGCTGATGGTGATGATGATGATACTGGTGATGATGGTGGTCATAGTGATTGTGAGTGTGATGATGATGCTGATGCTGATGATGGTTATGGTGGTGATGGTGATGATCCCAACGGTGATGGTGATAGTGATGGTGATGATCTTGATGCTGATGCTGCTACTGGTGATGATGGTGATGATGAAAGGGTTGGTGATGGTGATGCTGATGCTGATGATGCTGATGATGATACTGCTGATGTTGATGAGGAATGATGAATGATGAATGGTAGTGATGATGATGCTGAAAATGATATGGTGATGATGATTATGATGATGATGATATGTTGATGATGATGATGATGGTGATGGTGATGGTGATGATGATGACGATGACGATGACGATGACGATGACGATGACGATGACGATGATGATGATGATGATGATGATGATGATGATGATGATGATGATGATGATGATGATGATGATTATGCGGCTGATGGGGGGGCGATGATGTTGGCGTTTATAATGACGATGCTAGTGGTAATGGCGGCATGCGTAGGGTAAAGGCACGCATGGGAGAAGGGAGGAGGGAAGAATTGGAGATGAGAAACGCGGGGCGCTGTCTCTTCAAAACGAGGACCTCGGGAAACATGCAAAACTACAAACGGTGATGGGAGCCTCAACAATGAAGGGACAGAAAACGGCATACACATAAACTTTCGGAGGTCCGCGCGGATTTCTGGGATCGACGCTGAACCCCCTCTTCCTGTCGCGTGAAGCGCACCTAGGGCGGCGCCGGATTCGCCGCCTGGGGTCACCAGCGCTGATCCAACACTTACGCTCGGAACTCCGATCTACTTCGAAGCTGGTCTGTCTCATCTGTCTTTTCCTCCTCCTGCTCATCATCCTCCGCCGCCTCTTCATCCGCTCAGAATCTGGCCCTGGACCACTGGGTTCGGTCCTCGGACCCCTCCTGGGGTCCAAACTGACAAATTGTTCGAGCCGCGTCCAACCGTGGCAACGAGGGGGCTTCATCTCCCCCGCCCTCCTCTGTGGTGGCCGGAACCAATGGTAGGGAACCGCACTCTATACACCGACGCTTTTTCCGGCCCTGCACTGAAACTCGTACAAGGAAGCGGATCCTGGTGTAGACGGGATGCTGGTGTATACATTTTCGTCATTTCCCGAGGAAAACGCGGGAACAACTATACACCACACCACCCCGACGTCGTCCCTGACTCCCAAAAAGTCACGAGATTGAAAAACAGCACGCCACTGGTAATGTATATGTTCCTGTTTTCGAAATGGTGGGCTACCCCAGCTCCCCAGCCAGCTCCAACTTCAGCAGGTCCTTGTCCTTCTCCTCCTCCTCCTCTTCCTCCTCCTCCTTCTCCCATTCCTTTTCAAAGCGGGGCCCTCGCCGAAATGGCAGGCCCAACTGTGCTGGTCTTTCACAAGGGGCGCTTCTGGTAGCCATAAAAAAACTGCAGGGACGTATGAGGAGCGGACTTGTGACGGTAGGGTGTACTGCAGTATCGCTTATGCATCTTTGGTTTACTATTGTCCCCCTTCTCCTCTTCCTCCCATCCATGCATCTTAGAAGTAGCTCCTCCCTGTCGCACCCCGAGACGCGTCGGTAAGCCGGGCAGGGCTTCAAGCCAACAACTTCCTCACCATCTATGACCCCGGAACTTGAAATTTGCAGTTCGTAACTTCGCGAAATAAGGGAAGGTCGTTGCCAACATGCGGCCCTCGCGTTGACGCCACGCACATTCGTCTTTAAGGTGTGCAAAGGCCTCGAGGATGGAGGGAGTGCGGTTTTCCAGATGTGGCTCTCGTCTTCGCGCCGCGCGAATTTCGTCTTACGAGTTTGCAAGAGCTTCGCGGATGGGGGGCAAGCCGATTTCAAACTGTTGCTTTCGCAGTAGCGCCGCGCAAACTCGTCTTAACAATCGCAAGAGTCTCTCACGGATGGAGGGCGGGCCGTTTTGAGCATGTGGCTCTGGCTGCAGCACCTCGCGCATTCGTCTGAAACGTTCGCAGCAATGTCATCGATTCGTATGAGTGAGGCCCCGAAAACGGGTTTCTGGCACGAGTTCGGACTCTTAGGGCGCAACTGTCACGTTGACTCGCGGAGTTGAGGTCCCAAGAGTGGTGTCCTGTCAGGATTCATGGTCGTCATGACGCAACTGTCCCGTTGATTCGCGGCGCTGAAGTCCCAAGAAGGGCATCTCGGTACGACTGAGGATTCTCAGACGGTTGTCTTCGAATGGAGCATTTCCCGCAATGACAACACATTCCTGCTGCGCCCTAGAAAGAAGGAACTTGGAGGGAGGATGTATTGCAGCATGGTTGATGCAACAATTTGCATACGCTGGTCCTCCTCTTCCTCCTCCTCCTCCGCCTCCGCTCCCCCCGCCATCCGTGCCGCTTCCCAAGGCCCCTTCCAGCAGGTGCCCGCCGTGGAGGGCAGCTGTCCACTCCCGCACGAGCGCGCCAGGGGGGTTGGACTTCTTGGGACGGGGGGCTGCGCTGCAGCAGCGGCTGCTCCTGCTGCATCTATTGCAGCATCGGCTGCCTGTGCTGCTCCATCCTCTGCCCTCCTCCTAACCCTCCTCCTCCCCCTCCCCCCTCCCCCTCCCCCCTCCCCCTCCTCCTCCGTAGCCATTTTGGCTCAAGGTGGGCGGGGCGCGCGGTACCATCTTTTGGTCCTTCTCGCTCAGCTAGCCTCCGCCTCCGCGTTGGCGCTTGAGGGACACCGGGGCGTCTGGGCCGTGTTGGGAGTCGTTTGCTCACAACGGCATCGTCCAGCCTCTCCTGGTGACGAAGGGGAGCGAATTCACGATTTCAAGGCCCTTGCAGCGTCGTCATCTAAAGTACCGCACTCCCCCATCACCGCACGGGTGGTGTATTTTGGCTCTTGCTGGTGTCGTCATCTATCGTGCCGCATTATCCCATCACCGCTCAGGGGGTATGTTTCTGGAGCGTGGTTCTGGGAGATTTTCAAAAGGCGCCCGATGTGCATCTTCCTCGGCTTCCCGCCCGCCCCGGGCCGCGGTATCCAGTCGGGATGTTCATCTGGTGCTGCGCCCCCTTCTCCCGCTGGTCTCTATGCATATTGTGGCTTGGTGGGTTGGAGGCGAATTCAATCTATTTGTGTTTCAGTGAGTGGTCTGGTTGCGAGGCCGTCTGCGGTGGATGCGATCTCATTTTGGTGCCTTTCGTCGCAAGCCTGCGCGTTGGGAGTTCGAGGTTGCCCGATGACCACTGGTTTGTTTCGCTTTCCAATACAATGGGCCATATCGAGCAGACTCCGTTTCGGTTGAGCCGCCATTCCTCTCTCATTGGAATCACCCGTGTATACGTCCTCGTGGCTGCGTGGTTTTGGGTTGGAGTGAACTTTCAGCTATTCTGGTTTTCCAAGTGCTGGCGTGAGGTACTCGCTCGTGGTGTAGATGCCTTTTCCACGTACTTCCCGTTCATGGCCTCCAGCTTCTGGGTCGTGTCGTACGCCTTCTTGTTCGTCTTCGTCTTCTTCTTCGGGGAGTTCAAGGGAAGGTAGGGTGTGAGTTATGAATATTTCGCTTCGCGATAGCTGTAATCCCTGTAATCCCCCTCCCCCTCCTCCTCCTCCTACTTCTCCTCCTCTTCCTCCTCCTTTTCTTCCTCCTTCTCCTCCTCCTCCTCCTCCTCATCCTCCTCCCCCTCCTCCCCCTCGCCCTCCCACTCCTCATCCTCCTCCTCCGCCTCCTCCTCCTCCTCATCCTCCTCCTCTTCCTCCTCCTCCTCCTCCACCAACTCTTCCTCCCCCTGCTCCGCCTCCTCCTCCTCCTTTCCCTCCTTCCTCCTCCTCCTCCTCCTCCTCCTCCTCCTCCTCCGCCTCCGCCTCCTCCTCCTCCTCCTTTCCCCTCCTCCTCCTCCTCCTTCTCTTCCTCCTCCAACTCCTCCTCCTCCTCCTCCTCCTCCTCCTCCTCCTCCTCTCCTCCTCCTCCTCCTCCTTGTCCCCCCCCCCCCCCCCCCGCCTCCTCCTCCTCCTCCTCTTTTTTCCTCCTCCTCCTCTCGCCTCCTCCTCCTGCTCCTGCTCCTCCTCTTCCTCCTCCTCCTCCCCTCCCCTCCTCCTCCTCCTCCCTCCCTCCCTCCCTCCTCCTCCCTCCCTCTCTCCTCCCTTCCCCTCCCTCCCTCCCTCCCTCCCTCCCTCCTCCTCCTCCTCCTCCTCCTCCTCCTCCTCCTCCTCTTCTTCCTCCTCCTCCTCCTCCTTCCTTCTCCTCCTCCTCCTCCTCCTCCTCCTCCTCCTCCTCCTCCTCTTCCTCCCTCCCCCGCCTCCCCTCCTCCTCCTCCTCCTCCTCCCTCCTCCTCCTCCTCCTCCTCCCCCTCTCCTCCCTCCTCCTCCTCTCCTCCTCCTCCTCTTCCTCCTCCTCTTCCTCCTCCTCTTCCTCCTCCTCCTCCTCCTCCTCCTCGTTCTCGACCGCACTTATTCTCCGTCCCATCCTGGGAGCATATGCCCCGTCCCCCTCTTGTTTTTTGCGTTGGCCAGACTCTGAACGACGAAGCTGCACCCTCCTCCTCTAAACTCGAAGCTGGCAGCCCTTGTCCTGCAGGCAGGTGACGCCGTCGCCTCTGCCTCTCTGTCTTTCCCTCTCTCTCTCTCTCCTCCTCCGCCTCCTCCTCCTCCTCCGCCTCCTCCCTCCTCCTCTCCTCCTCCTCCTCCTACCTCCTCCTCCTCCTCCTCCTCCTCCTCCTCCTCCTCCTCCTCCTCCTCCTCCTCCTCCCCCTGCTCCGCCTCCTCCTCCTCCTCCTCCTCCTCCTCCTCCTCCCCCCCCCTGCTCCGCCTCCTCCTCCTCCTCCTATTCCCTTCTCCTCCTCCTCCTCCCCTCTCTCTCTCTCCTCCTCCTCCTCCTCCTCCTCCTCCTCCTCCTTCCTCCTCCTCCTCCTCCTCCTCTTCCTCCTCCTCCTCCTCCTCCTCCTCTCTCCTCCTCCTCCTCCTCCTCCTCCTCCTCCTCCTCCTCCTCCTCCTATTCCTTCTCCTCCTCCTCCTCCCTCTCTCCACCTCCTCTCCTCTCCTCCTCCTCCTCCTCCTCCTCCTCCTCCTCCTCCGCCTCCTCCTCCTCCTCCTCCTTCCTCCTCCTCCTCCTCCCTCCTCCTCCTCCTCCTCCTCTCCTCCTCCCTCCTCCTCCTCCTCCTCCTCCTCCTCCTCCTCCTCCTCCTCCTCCGCCTCCCCCTGCTCCGGCTCCTCCTCCTCCTCCTTCCTCTTCCTCCTCCTCCTCCCTCTCTCTCTCTCCTCTCTCCTCCCTCCTCCTCCTCCCCTCCTCTTCCTCCCCTCCCTCCCTCCCTCCCTCCCTCCCTCCCTCCCGCCCTCCCCCCCCTCCCTCCCCCCTCCCTCCCTCCCTCCCTCCCACCTTCCCTCCCCCTGCATCCCCCCCCTCGGGCTGGAGGAAGAAATCGGAAGGGAATCGCTAAAACGCCAACGCCATGCTGTGGCTGCTCACGCCGGGATTCCGGCCAGGAGGCTGCTGGGGGCCCGGGCGGAGGCCCCCAGAGCGTGGCGAGGGGGCCGCGCATGCCCAGGGACAGGGGAGGCCGCGACGCGAGAGCGGGCCGGCCCCCCAGCAGGGCGGTGGTCGCCTTGGCCCCTTCTGTGCCTGCTGCCACCCTATGACGAAGCCAGGGCGAAGCCTTTTGTGGCTGTGCGTCTGCTCTTCGGGGGCTCGTGGTCGGCGGAGGCGGCCGGGAGCGGGGGTGCGCGCGCAGAGTCTCCCTCCGCGGCCAGCCTTCTCTCTTCTCGCTGTGCAGGTCGGGAGAGGGGAATCATGTCAGCCGTGGGCCTTCCGGTCGTAAGACGAAGCCGAGGCGTGGACAAATTCGGGTGAGGATAAAGCGAGAAACCAAGATCCACCAACTCTGGAGGATGTCTCGGGCGCTGGTTCCGGAACGCTCTGAGAGCGTTCCTGAACGCTCTGAGAAGGGATTCATCATCGTCCCAGCCCCGTCCTGCACCCCCCCCTCCCAACGCTCGCACTGAAGTCCCAGACCACCCCCGACGGTATGGTTTGTTCAAGGCATGGACACCCAAAAATGTGGACCCTGTCTCCAGGACCGCCTTTCATCCTGAGCAAATTGTTTGACAATCCTGGGGTCCAGCAAGGGCCCCAGAGGCAGAAAATTGCCAAAAGCCTGCCGTCGTGCTTTTTCATGGCGCGGCCGGTTCTGGGGTTCTCTCGCCCCTCGCATGGTTGCGTGATCACCGGCCCCTAACAGAAAAAAACACGACTGCCCATGTTGGGCCTACACTGTCAACTCTCTGTCGCTACATCGTCAACTCTGAGCCACGTCTGCATCGCAGCGCAAGGAGGAAGGCTGGGAAAAGGGCACGCCACCCCTTGGCAAGAAAAACCTCGCCCCGATTCGTGACCGCCGCGATCACCGCGGCGACCGCCCAAACTGACCGCGACGATCGCAGTCTGGCGCGCCATCGGAGCGCGCGGCGTCAGACCGCCCACCCCCGGCGGGCAGCACGGGCCCAGAGCTCGACCTAAACAATACTTTCCGTTTTTCGTCTTGGTCTCGCTTTCCCTCGTTCTGTCTTCTGTCAGCTCTGCTGCAGCAGAGAAGAAAAATCCGAAACGACAGCGCTCCACGAGACCGCCAAAACACTGTCCAGGTCGAGCCCTGTCAGGGACCCTACGCCACCCGACGCCGCCTCAGAAGGAAGAGGCCGGACTCCACGCTTGGGGGGCCAAAGTTGTTTTTTTCCGGGAAGCCCACCAGGGCCCCCTGTAGAGCCCTTGGTGTTAGGTCGGGTATGTCCCCCTACGGGCAGATCTTTGCTGACAAATTAAGCATAATCAGAACATATGTTAACACAGTCAAGACATACTAGAAAAATCGTCCTCAAACTATGTTTTACTATTTTTGAATGTTCATCCTGTAGAGAGACATGCCTGACTTAACCCTGGTGCCGTGGTGCCCCTACTCGACGGCGCACCTCCAACGAAAAATGCTTGGCACGCCCGAAATGGTACGGAAAAGATGGGTGCGATGCCCAACAGCAAATACTTACCAGCCTGGAACATCTGCCCATCCCTATGTTGGGCATCGCCTCACCACGATGGCGATCTGAGGGGCTCCCTCAGTTTCTGAGGGTGCATCCCTAAGATTGTCGTCGCCTTTTTGGCGTGTCAGTCCTAGGGATAGGGACAACTTCGAGGCTGGTGAAATGCTGTCCACAACCGACAGCGGCCGTCGTTGGGCAGGCGACCTTCTGTTTCAAAAACTGACAAAGTTCACGGCGACACCGGCAGCGAGCCCTGTTCAAGATGGACAAGGACTGTCATGTCTGCCTTGGTCACCGTTGTTTCAGTACCAACTTCGATCGAACCGAGATACGACCCCCACGCCTCCCGGGATGCGGTCCTCCTCACTTCGATCCTCGAGCCTCGATCCAACAATCCTCGATGCTCAAGCCTCGATCCATCCCGATTCCCGATTCCCCAAATCCTCGAACCTCGATCCTCAGACCTCTCTAGAGGACGAGAAAGCAGTGGAAAAACGCCAGGGGGGGGGGCCAATCGCCGACGGAGCTCCGAAAATTCCCCAATCAGTGCTTGCACTGAATGTATCCCAACGGAAATTGAAAAATTTGGCGAACATTTCCTGCCGATTTTGGTGGCCGGCTGGGTTCCCGGGTTCCGGGTTCCGCGTTCCCGGGTTCCTGGTCATTGGTTCTGATCCGATTTCGGTGGGGTCCCGGGTTCCCGTGTTCTCGGTCGATCTCCTTATCGATCTGTTTATCGATCCCACGATTCATCAGACAATCCACCGATTGGGGTTTTTCTCTGGAGTAATTACGTTTATGCTGTTGCTTCTTCTTCGAGCTACTCGGCGCGGGCTCGACCCGATTCCGTTCCGAGCTCAGCGGATTCGGCTGTAAGGGTCTACACCTCCGCCCTATGACGGTCTACACCTCCGGCGCCGCCACTGGCGCGTTCCGCGCGCCAGGAGGGGGCCCAACGCCGATCCAAGAATTCCGCGACGACCTCCGACAATGTGTGTTTTATGTTTTTGTTGTGATGTTGATGCCCGCGAGAGCCCCGCTCCCGGGACAACCCCTCCGATATCACGATGACCATCCAGCACATCATGGAGGGGAACGGGAACCGCCGCCTCGTGCGCGTGGTCGCTGTAGAGACCTGGGGCATTCCTCCCCGCACCTCCACCTGCTCAGAACTCTCGTCGTCTTCCTGTACCTACCCCTCTACTAGGATGGAGAAACTTGAGATGCGGGCGCTGACATGTCTTCACATGGAGCGTGTTCGCCCAGTTTGGGGTCCCAGGACCATCACAGATCGATCTGGCTCGAGCTATGCAGCAGGAAACAGAAGTCCAGGTCTCTGGTCGTGACATTGTACGTCGTTGTTTCTTACAGTGTCGGATCTCAGGGATCCCTTCCTGGCGCCGATCCAAACAAATCCACGCGGATCTCCGAACGTGCATGCTTAGGTTGCTCTTCCCTTTCGGCTAGCATCGTCTTCGTCCGCCTCCTCCTCGTCCTCCTCCCGTTGCTGCTCCGCCCTCTGCCTCTGCCTTCCTCTCATTCTCCTCTGGGGGTGGTTCGGCTCCTGGTAGAGCTGGGTCCCTGCGTCCTCAAGTCCTTTTTTCAAATCTGAGTCTCAGCGATGGCGTGCTAGCCTTCGATCAAGCATGTCCTCCTCCTAAAGGCGGATTTTGGAAGAAAATCAAACATATTCAAAACATACTCAAAAACAGTAAGGAAAACTAGAAACGTCGTCCCCATAGGATTTTTTACTGTGTTTGAGTATTCCTCCTGTAGAGGGACATGCCCGACTTAATGCTAGCCAGAGCCGCCCCCCACGGTGTGTGTGTGTGTGTGTGTGTGTGTGACCCTGTCCGGATGTGGCCTTCCTGCTGACTGGCCTTCTGTACGGGAGGTGAAAACGACCACAGCCACTGCCTTTCTTTTGTTGCCGCCTTCCAGCCAGCAGAAGCAAAGCCGTGGTTGTGGTCATTTTCGTTAAGCTTGGCACCAGAGAAATGACCACAACCACGGCTTCTTTTTCGGCCGGCTGGAAGGCGGCGCAAACAAGAAGCAGGGGCTGTGGTCGTTTTCCAGTCCCGCATTCTGCTGCGCTCTCTTCTATTCTCCTCTCGTCCTCCTCTCACCTCTGCCTCCTCTTGGTCCCATCTCTGCCCGCTCGCCATCCTGCTGCCCGCCCGACCCGCCCTGCCCTGCCTCCTGCCGTCCTCCTCTTGCCTCCTCTCGCCCTCCTCTTGCCTCCTCTCGCCCTCCTGTACTGCACAGTGCCCAGCCACGAGGGAGTGTCACTGCCGCTCTCCCCGATCCGCTCAGCACTCGGGCGAGCTCAGGGCCGGCCGCGGCCTGCGCCTCCGCTCTCGCCGCAGCTCCTCCTCCCCGCCCCCCGTCGCCCGCGCCTTGGACGACACCACCCGGCGACGCTCCTCCAACGAGTATCCCATCGGGGGGAAAGCGCATCGGCGGCGAGCTCGTGGGGGGGGGGGCGGGCGAGAGGAGGCGCGGGCCTCCTCGGAGGGCAGCGGGGCTTCTCAGAAGCCTTCGCGCCTTCTGAGCCCTCTCAGGACAGAGGCGGCTTCTCGGAAGGCCAGGGGGCCTCTGAGAAGCTCCAACGCCGATCCAAGAAATCCGCGCGGAGCTTAGACAAGTTATGCTTACGCCGTTTTGTTATTCGAAGGCAGCCCCCCGCGGGGCTTCCCACCCTCCACCCTCCACCACCATGTTATGTTGCTTGGCACTGCGTGCGAAAGGGTGCAAGTGGACGGACGTGGATGACGAGGGGGCAGGGTGGAGGAGGGATGACGAGGAGGGAGGACGAGGAGAAGCAGGGGTAGGCCACTAGCAAATGCGGAAATAACAAAGAAACATCAGGCACCTGGTGGCAACTCCCGGGAAGGCCTGGTGCGCGGGTTGCGGTTGAACTGGATTGCTGGGCTAAATTT